ACATAAATGTTCATAATACTAGGTAATAACATTATTTCATGTGAATAATACTTTTACACAACTTGAACACAAAGCATGTATAACAACTAGTGCTATTATACAAGTTTACTTGTATCCCCCCCCCCTAAAACTTGGATAAAAACGAAAATGAGGGGTATGAACTCACATTGAGTGTGTTGCTTGGTGAATAAAGAGGTGAAGATGAAGGTTTTCAAGCTAAGAACACTTGAAGACACTTGAAGAACACTTGAAGATCAAATTATCTTATGGATATTAACACATGTTAATGTGTGTAATTGTAACAAAACTAGTATATATGGGTGTAGAATCACTAGATTAGTAAGGAAAAGCTTACCAAAAGATCAAGAACGAACTTGTGGGAATTAGCCTTGAGAGAAATGACCTTGTTCTTGAGAGGAAATGAAGAAGAATGAAGAACATGAGGAAGATGAAGTCTAGGAGGGGGGGGGGGGGGGTCGACCGAGGTTTCAAGGTGTGAGGGGGAGGGTGAGGGGTGGGGTGAGGTGGGTAGGGTATGGGGGTGTAGGAGTTGACTTTATTAGAATAATAATTCTTTAATAAAGTGTGTCATCACCATATGAGACAAAAATTGTCTCTTTTTATTTTTATAAAAGAATGGGTAAACTTTTATAAAAGATGGTGATTTTTATAAAAAGTGTGGTAAAAATGATGTATATTTACTTAATTTGAATCATTTAAATTCAAATTATTATAAAAATTATTATCATAAAAAATAATAACACATTAAATGAGAGTTAGGATAAATCCTAATTCTTTTCGTTAACGTTTGAGTGTTTAAGCTGAGTATAGAATCTGTCGCATTTGGTGATGGATTCACCAAAAATTTGTATATGTAACCTTGGTTATGAATTTGTCATGTCGTATAAGGTTTATGAACTCCACTACATTGTGTTATGAATATTATTTATACCCGAATAATATATAATTGAATTATCGAATTGTTACGTTATTAACCCTAATTAGGGTTTATATTCGATATTTGACAACCAGAGAGGTACTTTGTATTATAACTTGCCAATAGTACATTAGAAACATTAGGGAATATCACATTTCTCCTAAAATTCTAACATGAGTTGAGTTGACCTAGTTGACTTTGTTTTGACCAAAATTGACGGTTATCACAACTAATGATAAACGTTAGTCAAATAATAATTATATTGTGATGTTGACTTAAAAAGTAAGGTTAATGGTAATTATATGATAATAATTTATCATCATTCATCTAAAAAATAAGTCTAACACTGGTGGGAGTGGCCACGGTTTGTACCGTACCACCTGTGACATGTCGACAGGAACACCGCCCCTAGACCGTGGTTTTGGTACGGTTAGGGACACACTATTGCAATAGACGGGAGTGGTTGGAGGGCGTTTGTGATTGGATGGCTTCTTTACCGTTGGGAATGGTCTAATTTTTGAAAATTATTTTTTTTACTAACACTGTAAATACACAATCATTTTAACCAAAATAACTCAGAAAACTTCTTATTTTACCATCTTTTTTCTCCAAAAAAGCCTACCATCTAAAAAACACTCACTAGAAAAACACTACAACCCCAAGACCTGCATTCGATCAACCGATTTATTCGCCACCTTTTTACTACTATGGCGGGATGCTTCCTTACTATCTACAATGTATCTCACAACCACAACGACCTACACAACCACTTCCACTTCCACAAACACAACATGACCTGGATTTTAATCCTTTTGAATTTTGTTTCTCAACCAGAGTTTGTTTCACAAACACAACTCAAATTTTTCCACAAACACAATCACAACCACAAACACCCATTTTCGATTCCGAACCCGAATTTGTTCAAGAAACTTAACCACTCGACCAAAAAATAAAAGTAAAGAGAAGGCGGATGCTAAACTGTGGGAACCCCATGAAGTGTTATTGTTGGCACAATCATGAATTGACGTTTCAGAAGATCCGATGACGGGAGCGGACCAAAAACATGACCGCTTTTGGATGCACGTTAGAGCTAGGTTTCACAAAGGAATTGAACTAGAACCATATCGTTTTAAGCATCAAGTCTACTCAAAATGGGGAAAGATGAACAAAGAAATCATGTTGTTTAACGATTTATATAACAACATCAAACGACAATGGAGAAGCGACGAAAGTGATGATGTGATTTTGGAGAAATCTTTTAACATTTACCACAAAGAGCAAAAGAAGCCTTTTTAAGTTTTTTGAAGTTTGGAATTTACTCAAAGAAAACAAAAAATGGAAAAATAAAAAAACAATCGAGGAGCACATCGATAGTGGCTCAAAATGGTCAAGAACTTTCGAATCCGATCAAACTACATCAGATGCCCGTGTTCATTTCGACCTCAACGATGATGAGCCCATTGAAGTTTCACCACCCTCCCGACCGATGAGAAATGACCAGTGTTGTAAAAATCCCGATTAGGTCCCGATTAATCTCCGATTAGTCCCTAGGCGCTACTCAACCGATTAGAGGGCGCCTAGCGATTAATCCCTGCAAACACAATGACTGAAACAGTAGAACACGATGAAATTTTAACACTTTGAAAAACTTATATCACAATAGAAACTATTTGAGGTATGATTAGTGTTGTATTTATCATATTAACCTATTTTGTTATGATATTAGTGGTATTTACAAATTTTTATATGATATTAGTCATATTTAATTTTTTAAAATCTAACAAATTAGCAATTAATGGTCCCCGATTAATCCCCCTATTAATCTCCGCCTAGCCGATTAATCCCTTAACCCCAGTCCACCGACTAGCTAACGTCGAGCGATTTTTACAACCTTGGAAATGACAAATCAAAAAGCAAAGGCAAGGGCAAAACGTCAGAGTGGGATGACTTGAAATAAATGAGGGAAAATGTGCAAGGCATAAAAGACAGAATGAATAATTTTTTACAACTTGCTTCGGATAGAGAGGCTCGAAAACAAATGGATAGCGACATGAAAGTGCTAACGATGAACATACCAAAATTGAGCGGGGAGAAGCTTCAAGTTGAGCTGATGATGAAGGAGGACGTCAAAAAAACGTTACGCTAATCGTTTTTAATTTTATAGTTTTTTTTCAAAGTTTTTTTTAATCGTTTGATGTGTGTTTTTTTTAAGTTGTAGGTTTAATATTTCTACTTTGGTTTTCTAAATGTTTATGTTTTTCTTTAAGTGATGCAATGTAATGATAATTTTATTTTTAATTAATGAAATATTATCTTTTTTAAAAAGAATAAAGTTTTTATTTTAAAATAAAGACAAAATTACAAAAATGGTCCCTGTGGTTTGCCAAAAGTCACAAAGTCAGTCCCTGCTAATTTTTTTGATGCAAATGGTCATTGTGGTTTGCAAAACTTGCAAAGTTGGCCCTTCTTACTAACGCCACTAGGGACTGAATCTGTAAGGGTATTTTCGTCTTTTCAAGTATAAAGGGGACTGCATTCGATTAAATTGTTTGGGGGAGGGATCGAACTCGTGACCTCCACCCTTCTATTTTGTCCAACGACTTAACCACTTGAGTTAAATGCTCACTTGGTTTTTATCTTCTAAAACTAATTTATATAATAATAAACTGATAAAACATAAACAATAAATAAATTAAAAAAAAATATTTTTTTACATAATTTTTTTTAATAAAACAAAATGTATTTAGCGTATTATAAAAAATTCGTTTAGAAAAAGTATTTTTTTTATTTTACATAAAATGTTTTTTTTAATAAAGTACTTATAAAACCTATTCGGTTATATGTCTTATTTAAAATACGTATTTCAACTTAACCGTTAGTTTTAAATCGTATGGTTAAAATGACGATGAAAAGAAATAAAGATATATTTTTTAAAATAACAATAATTAACACTATTTGTGACATATAAAAATATTAATTGTTTAAATACATATAACAAAATTGTTAAGTTTTTTTTAACCGAAAAACGGTTTTTAGAAAACCAATTAGGCCAAAAAAAAATCAATTCGGCCGATTTTGCCTTTCATTACAACGTAATAACATTTTATACGAAAACGTATTTTTTAAAGACATAAAAAAACATTTTATGTAAAATAAATACATAAAAATAAATATGTAAAAAAATATTTTATTAAAAAAATTATTTTATGTAAAATAAATACATCAAAATAAATACTTTTTCTAAACGTATTTTTTTATAATACGCTAAAATACATTTTGTTATATTAAAAAAATTTATGTAAAAAAAAAATATTTTTTTTAATTTATTTATTGTTTATGTTTTATCGATTTTATTATTATATAAATGAGTTTTAGAAGGTAAACCAAATGAGCCTTTAGTTCAAGTGGTTAAGTTGTTGGGCAAAATAGAAAGGGCCAACTTTGCAATTTTTGCAAACCACAATGACCATTTGCATAAAATAAAAATTAATAGAGACTGACTTTGTGATTTCTGACAAACCGATTATTTTTGTAATTTTGTCTAAAAAAAAAAAAACAAATGTGACACCCTATGTGATACCAACCTAAAAAAAACAAATGTGATACCACTCACTCATTGGGTGGTATGAAACCACACTGCCATTTCATGAGACTGTGACAACTATTCCAACCTAATAATATAGATCGGTGTATATATAATACGACACCAACCTAAAACTTTCATTTAATAAATAGCATCGAGTAAACTATTTTATACGTAAATTAGGGTGGCTGGTGTGCAATGATTTCAACTAGCTAGGTGGAAGGCTAGTTTACTCAATGCTCAGTAGGAAATGAAAGTTTTACTTACATAGCTTACAAAACTCAAAAGCCATTCCAAGTGACCAGTCGTTGGGAATCTGTAAGATCGTGATGATACAAAACGTTCATATTTATTTATTTATTTATTTTTTAACGGCACAAGACGTTTAAGTTCATAGCCACTTATTTAATGCTATAAGTCAAAGAGCGTTCGTCATAAGCTCAAAGACTCCTTGCATATTCTGTTTGAACCTTGATAGCAATGTCAAGTAAGGGAGATGGAGCACCGGCAATCGGAATCGATTTGGGTACAACAAACTCATGTGTTGCTCTTTGGAAACACAACAGAATCGAGATCATACCCAATGACCAAGGCAACCGAACGACGCCATCTTGTGTTGCTTTCACTAATGCTGAACGGCTCGTTGGTGATGGTGCAAAGAACCCAGCAAACACTGTATTCGGTCAGTTTACATACACTTTCTATAGATTAATATTTTGTGCTTCAATCACACATTTTTATACCTTGGCCGATTTTGTTATGGAATTTCAGATGTGAAGAGGCTGATCGGAAGGAGGTTTAGTGACGTCCAGGTACAGAAAGACATAAAGTTGTTTCCATTTAGCGTCATAAAAGGGGCCTACCGACATCCCAAAAATTGTGGTTACTCACAAGGGTAACGAGCGACAATTTTCTACCGAGGAAATTTCATCAATGGTTCTTAACAAGATGAAAGAAATTGCAGAGGCTTATATAGGTAAGACTGTTAAAAATGCTGTCATCACAGTCCCAGCTTATTTCAATGATTCTCAACGTCAGGCAACCAAGGATGCTGCTACTATTGCTGGCCTAAACGTCCTTCGCATGATCAACGAGCCAACATCAGCTGCAATTGCTTATGGTATAGACAATATGTCGGGGCTTACTGGGAAGAGGAATGTGGTCATATTTGATCTCGGTGGTGGCACTTTTGATGTCTCTGTTCTCACAATTGATGAAGTGGGTGCGTTTGAGGTTAAGGCTGTGGCTCGTGACACTCATCTGGGAGGTGATGATTTTGATAACCAAATGGTGAGTTATTGTGTTGATGACTTTAAGAAGAAATGGAACATTGATTTAACTGGACAAAAAAGAGAGCTAGGAAGGTTGAAAGCTGAATGTGAAAAAGCAAAGAGAATTCTTTCGTATGCTACTCAAGCTTCAATTGATTCAGTGTTGTTGCAGAATGGTATCGACTTTTCAATGGAAATTAGTTGTGCCAAATTTGAGGAGCTTAATATGGAGTTTTTTATAAAGTGTATTAAGCAATTGAAGTTGTGTTTAGCTGATGCGAATATGACCAAAGGAAGGATAGATGAGGTGATTCTTGTTGGTGGTTCAACTAGAATACCTAAGGTTCAGCGTTTGTTGCAGGATTTTTTTGATGGAAAGGAGCTATGCAAGAAGATCAATCCTGATGAAGCTGTTGCTTATGGGGCGGCAGTTATGGCTGCAAAGTTATGTGGTGAAACTACCAAAATGGTAAAGGAGTTGGTTCTATTTGATGTCACTCCCTTGTCGCTTGGTGTTGAGACATTAGGTGAAAAAAATGAGCATTGTGATCCCAAAGAGAAGTCCTATACCTACAAAGATGCATAAGAATTTTCATACAAGCACAGACAACCAACTTACTATACATTTCATGGTGTACCAAGGTGAGCGATCTAAATCTACTGACAATTATTTCTTGGGATCGTTTAGAATTTCTGGAATACCACCTGCTCCCAAGGGAGTCCCAGTAATACAAGTAACCTTTGAAATAGATAATAATGGTATCCTCACAGTTACGGCTAGGATAGCATCCACTGGTAAGACCGAAAAACTTATTGTTACCAATGTTTGTGGAAGATTGTCAAAGCAGGAGATCGAGAAAATGATTGAAGATGCTGAGAAATTTAAGCTTGAGGACCAAGAGTTCAAGAGGAAAGCTGAAGCATACAATGAATTGGAGGATTGCATATATCACTTAAAGAGGAAGATCAAAAGTACTCCTAATATGCCCCCAAAGGTCCAGAAGAACATCCGTTATACAATTGATGATACAATGGAATGGCTCTCTGATAGCAAAGTTGCTACTATTGACAAGATTAAGCGCAAGAAGGAGCACATGGAGTTCATAACTGGGCTTGCATTTCCTGACTAAGATGATGCTTGTTTTCTTTTCTTTTTTTACTTATGGGAGTTTTGTACTTTTTGGGATATTAACTGTCTGATGTATTGCAGCACATATGTTTGGCTGCTTTTTCTATTTCAGTTTGATGACAAGGTAAGTAAATTAAACTGGATTATAGAACAAAGATTGCAAAACATGTTAACCTGAAATGGGTTTCCTGCAACTTGTACACAACAAGAAGGTGACAAAAGGCTAGAACTTGTACACAAAGACTTTGGCTTCACGTGATTGCTTAATTGAAACAGGAAACTGAAAAGCTAGATGCCATAAAGGCTTACATAAAAAACGGAAATACGGGGAGATAAACTACCCACTAAAGAGACCTTGGACCACTAACTTAGACCAAGTCAATAACTAGTACGAAAATGGCTAAATAAAGTCAACTAACACAAAGCTAGAAATAGTAAGATAGAGATGATAAGGTGTTGCAATTTCATTACTCCCTCTCAACACCTACTTTCACCATACCCATGATGTCACAGAAATCAACAAATCTCTGACTGGATAAGCTCTTTGTGAACAGGTCAGCTACGTGATCTTTGGTGTTCACATATATCAAGTCAATGTCACCATCTAATACCTTCTCTCGGATAAAGTGGTAGTGAACCTCAATGTGTTTTGTTCGAGCATGGAATGTAGGGTTATTGGCTAGTTGAATGGAAGACAAGTTGTCACAGAATAGTGAAATCTTGGAGCCCACGTCTTTATTCAAATCCTTCAGCAATTGTACAAGCCACATGCTTTCTTGAGCTGCCATTGCTGAAGCTCGATATTCAGCTTCTGTTGTAGACAGAGATACAGTGGGATACTCCAGCATAGTCTGAGTCACAGTAGCCAACTAAGTTGCATTCTAGTTCCCTCTTAAACATGACTCCATAATTGATAGTTGCCTTTAAATACCTTAGAACTCTCCGAACAACATCTAGGCGAGGTTTTCTTGGACTTTGCATGTATCGACTGAGTACTCCAACCACAAATGCAATATCCGGCCTTGACTACAATGTCAGGTAAATAAGACTACCCACAATTTTCCGGTACATTGTTGCATCTTCACGCTTTCTACCAGCATTTGCATAGAGCTTTACATTGGAGTCCATAGGTGTCACAACCGGTTTACACTCGATCATACCAAACCGTTTCAGTAGATCACTTGTGCATCTGTGTTGGTGTAAGACAATATCTTGATAATGTAACATCCGGATTCCCAGGTATCTTATTTTAAGTATTTATTTTGAGTTTTAGGGAGGGACTCGGCGAGTAGGCGCTCAGACTCGCCGAGTAGGATCGCGTATTTCTTGATTGATTTAATGAAGGACTCGACGAGTCGATACGTGGACTCGGCGAGTCTGCGCTGTAAAGTGAAACCCTAAATCCCCGGGCCTGTGCCCTATTTAAAGGCCTTTATGGCCTCCATTTGCGGCCAATGCACCCCAGAGAAACCCTAGAGAGAGCAGTGAGAGAGTTGAGAGCAAGAAGAGGCTAATACATCACTTTTGGTGTAGTTTTGCTAGAAGGAAGAAGGAAACACCCATCTAGAGCGTGAAGGGAGCTTGGATCTGGGCTAATCATCTTAAGAGTTCATCTCTGGAGGTATAATCCTTTCTATTTCGTGTTGATATGATAGATTTCATGATTTTAGGGTTTTTACCTCCATTTTATGTAAGATCTAGTGAGTATGAGGTCCCCTTTGTGTTAATAGCATCAGATCTGGACCATGAGAGGTCCATAGAGTCACTATCCCTCAGCTTTATGCAAGCAAATGAAAGATTGGGGACTAGGTTGCCATTTTTAGAGTTATTTCTCCATTTATGACTTGTTGTGGGTTGCATGCACGTAAAGGTTGCACCTTTACATGACATTTGAACATTTGAAGGGTAGATCTGATAGTTAGGGAAGCAGATCTGACCTTAGGAGGTCATTTGAGGATGAACATGGAGGCAACTCGCCGAGTCCATAAGTGGACTCGACGAGTCGAGTCGGGGTTGCCCCGCGATTCGTGACAGGTGTAACCCGTCGAGTGGAGGGATGACTCGACGAGCCAAGAGAGGCTGAAAGGATTCGGAGGACCCGCATGGACTCGCCGAGTCGCCCTTGTGCACTCAACGAGTCGGTCAAAGTTTGACCATTAACTTTCGTTGACTTTAGGGTTCTGGTCAAGACTGATTCAAGAGAGTTCAAGGAAGGGTAGAATGATCTTCTACCCAATCTGTAGTGATGAGGCTATGAGAGGATATTGATCGAAAATATTATTTGAATAATAGGAGGAGGCTAGGTCGGGACGTTGAGCACGAGAGTTCATCCGACTTCATTGAGGCGAGTCTTCTCACTATACTGTACCTGGAAGGGTACCTATGTGTGACCGGAAGGTCTTGTATGCTATGAGATGTATGTGCTATATGCGGTTATGTGATATGTATGTGCTTTGTATGTTATGTATGGTAAGGACCGGAAGGTCAAGATGATATGGACCGGAAGGTCAAGATGACGTGGACCGGAAGGTCAGGAGGTTACGAACCGGAAGGTCGATACGGGTAGGACCGGAAGGTCTACCGGGATTCGGGACGGAAGTCCCCTGAGACACATGGATCGGAAGATCCTACAGGGTTATGGCCTGGAAAGGCGTATGTGTTGTATGTGGTATTTGGGGAACTCACTAAGCATTTATGCTTACAGTTGTTGTGATATGTGTTTCAGGTACTAGCGAGGATCGCGGGAAGGCGCCAGCATGATTCGTACACACTTATGGAGTTTATGTTATTGAGATTCTGGGACATGTTTTATTATGACACAGTGAATACATTATGTTTTATGATTATTGTGTGATTGAAAGTATGATTTAAAAATGAAAAATTGTTTTGAAAATTTACGTTGTTATAGATAATCATAATTCACTTCCAGTCCAAGAAAGTGTTTCAGCCTCCCAAGATCCTTCATATGAAATCGAACACAAAGGTTTTCTTTTAACTGCTTAATCACCTCTACAAGGTCACCTGTAATGATTAGGTTGTCTACATACACAAAGACGAATGCAACTTTGTCACCACTCGTCTTTACAAATAAACTTGCATCTGCAGTTGTTATAGGGAACCTATTGTGCTTAAGGAATTTTCCGATTTTCCCAAACCATGCCCTTGGGGATTGTTTCAGTCCATAGAGGGCTTTCTTCAGTTTGCATACATGACCTGGGTGCAACTTACTCTCAAAACCCATTGGTTGTACCATATGAATTATGTGATCTAGGTCTTCGTACAGAAACACGTTACTGATATCCATTTGCCACAAGTTCCATCCTTTGCTAGCAGCTAGGGCAAGGAGAACACGAATTGTTGTTAACCTGGCTACGGGACTAAATGTGTCTTCATAATCCAAACGAAACTGTTGTGAGAAACCACGGGCTATAAGACGAGCTTTAAACCTTTCCACTGACCCATCTGCCTTTCTTTTCACCTTGTAAACCCATTTACACGAGATGGACTTTACATCTTTTGGATTTGGAACCAATTCCCAAGTCTGATTCTTCATTAGGGTTGAGATCTCTTCTTTCATTGTTGCAATCCACTCTGGTACATCACATGCTTGGTCATACGAGTCAGGTTCTTGTACTTCACTTACTATGGCTATGTTTGCATATCTTGGGTTAGGTTTCTTTAACACATTGGAGCGTTTTACTCCTGATGCTTCAACATTATCACCATTGGAGTCAACTTGGTGAAATACACCAGATTGCCATGGTTGTTGAACTTGGACTTCAACATTTTCATCTTCAATAACAACTTCCTGTTCATTAAGGTTAAGGTTGAGTCTAGATGATTGAAGTTCTTCTTTAAGCGTTTCGGAGTCAGGTAACACATCACGACTGGATGACCACCAGGAAGACGTTTCATCGAACACAACATCCCTTGATATATAGCACTTCCCTGTGACTAGGTGACAACACCTCCAACCCCTTATCTCCTGATCATATCCTACAAAGATACCCCTCACTGTTTTCTTTTCTAGTTTATGGTGAATGTGATTAAGGATACACGCACAACACACACAACCGAATACATGAAGGTGGCTGACATTGGGTTTGGTATTGAACAGTTTTTCAAACGGAGAAACATATTGAATACCCTGTTGTGGTATCCGGTTGATTACATAAGCTGCGGTCTTCATTGATTCTGCCCAGAAGCATCCAGGAACATTCTTATCATGAATCATACTTCCTGATATGTCAGTCAAGTGTCGATTCTTCCTTTCTGATACCCCATTTTGTTGTGGGGTGTTTGGACACATTAATTGCCTTCTTATATTATGTGCCTTGAGATACTCAGTAAACTCCGAGGCTAAGTACTCCCAACCATTATCAAATTGTAAGAAACAAATGCTTTGTTTGGTCATACTATCTACTTCACTTTTGAATTCTTTGAACTTTAAGAAGGCTTCTGACATCTCCTTCATAAAGTACACCCACAAGTATCGTGAGAAGTCATCAGTGAAGGTTATCATGTACTTCATCCCTTTGACTGAAGGTTGTTTAACTGGACCAAACACATCCGAATGCACAAGTTCTAAAGGTACCTTTGCTTTAAAATTCGATCTCTCATAAGGTAATTGATGAGCTTTTCCAAATTGACACCCGACACAAACTAGCTCCTTGCTCACTTCAAGTTCAGGCAACCCATTCACCATCTTTTTCTTCATCATTAAGTCTAACTTATCATAACTTACATGGCTCAATCGTGTGTGACAAAGGTCAACATTATGATTTCTTTTAGTCTTATCAATGTCGACTCTGCTGAAAGAACATAGATAGACTCACTTCTTCACCCTTGAAGGACTGCTGTAGATGGTGTTTCAAACTTTTCATAGATATTCACTTCATTAGGCCTAAATACAACATAGTGACATGCTGAAGTTATTTGGGACACAGATAGAAGATTTTTTGTCATACCTGGTACATGGTAAACACTATTGAGTTTTAACTC